GTTTTGTAAAAATCGACGCGTTTCAAAAAGGCGGGGCATAGAGGAGAAACAATAATGTACAGTATGTGGAAAATAATGTGTTTTTTTAACTTTAAACCGCATAAACACATTTCATTACACCAAATACACAAAATAATGTTCTTTTTAGCAGCATCATATGACCCCTTTAACAAAAATTAATACATCTTTAGTGTTTTATCGCCCTCTGTTGTCCTTAACAAGAATTTATTGCACAAAATTTTCTACTTGAAAACTGAATTATATGCAACTTAAAATTCTTTGAAAGTAAGCAAATGTGAAATATAAAATACTACGTACTAAAATATTATTTTAAAGTCACATGAGAAGTAAACACACTGTCCATGCACACACACCCATCACCCTTAACCTATATTTGCACTTGCAGTGACCGTACACACACTATTGTATACTGTCTTTGCACTGCATAATGATTCGTTCTCAAAGTGCCGCATGCAAGATCAAACCTGTCCAAACACAAACCTGTCTGTAGAAGGAATGTGAAGACTTGACATAAGAAAAGGGCAACCAGAGAGACTCATAATACAACAACACGAATGTGGCATTACACATGCATTATAAAAATGTACAAACAGTTTAACTTGATCTTTAAATAACTTCAAATCACTCATCTAACTGAATTGTCGTGTGTGTTTTCATGTTTTAGATGTTTACTGTTTGATAATATCTGACACTTCAACCACCAAATACTCAATGTACACGGCTGAATTGAAAGATTTTTTCTCATTTAGTCACATTTAAAGGGATTCAATAACAAAAAGGATTCTATAACATTGTTGAATCAAATTTAAATCTTAAATTCTATTTGTTCTTTATTTGTCTTAATTATAATCTTTTGTCTGTGATAAAATTTTATAGGGTTATTTTTAATATTACCTTTTAATAAAAAATAATAAATAAATAAAAAAAAAATATATATATATGCACACTGTAATCTGATATTCAAATGTTTACTGTTTTTTAATAATTATTATTGATAAATTTCCCAATGTGAAGAAAACGTGGTTGAATTTATAGATTTGTCTTCTTTTCTATTCCATTCTATTTAAAGTAATTCTCTATTTTTCTGTTTTATTATTTGCTAAAACATTATTGTTGATTATTCATTTTAAATGGATTTTATTCTATTTTTGTTTTCCCTATTAAGCCCCATGGAGTTTTGATCTTAATTATAGGCTATCCTAACGTATTTCAAATCAAAGGTATGTATCTATTTTTATTTTATATTTTATTGTATTTAATCACATTTAAAGCTATTTTGTCTTAATTATATCCCATTGTCTGTGGTCAAAGTTAATGGATGTTC